TGATCCTCCTGGAGGCGAAACGGCACCACCAGAACAACCCAGTGAAGTTCCAGGGAATGTCCTACAGTACATCACAGACCAACAGCGTGTTCAACCGTACAATCTTCGAAACCGCGAAGCCTAATTTATATTCTCCTGACAATAATCCCTCCGGCGGGGAAGAATGTTATATACTGACGTTGTGTTTAACTTTTTTACTCGCTATTCGTTGAGCTAATTGTGTTTCCTAATGTTTTAGCTGATGTACTGAAACTGATAGAAGATTAAAGCCAATCATTCGGCAATCCTCGTTCTCTGTTTCTGGCACAATCATTCGAGTGCGCAACACCCATCTGGACACGTCGGTTGATATAAACGCAATCAGTCCAACAAAGCGTGTCTGTAGCATAATAATATTTAGTTAAGTCAACTGAGAAGCTCCACGAAATCGACCGGCACAATATTAGTGATGATCATTTGAATGACGACTGTGGAAGCCGAGCTCACATCTGTCTGAGGACTCTCGCACACACCAATGACCTTGTCACGATTGGCATCTCCCACCGAAGCCAGGGGAAGAGATTACGAAAAGTCAGATGGATTTACTGTTGTCCACCTTCCAGAATGGAGTCTCCTACTGCACTTGGTTGTAGACACTGCAAGAAATGGTGCCTGAGTGACGCCAGTGGCGTTCGTGTTGTCAGTCTGTTTCCGCATTTTTCGATTGAGCCCTCGGATGTGTAGTCACGTCCGATCGAATGCAATGAGCAAGCACCAGGCCCCCGCCTTCACTCGCTCTATTATTCTATCACTCATATGCTTTGAACATGACGTGATAAAGTCTGGTTTCACGGCAGTGAAGCATCAGTGCCAACATTGATGTTGAAACCTTCACTGTTTACCACGTGAAACTCCTTACAGGCGGATGCGATCTCCCTTTCAATTCCAACCAAGTTCAAGTTTAAACTAGGCCCTCATCTACATGAATTACACTAAGCAACAAACTAATTATGCGCAAAACCTGCTTGTACCAACTGATTCTCGACTACAAAGTCTGGGGGCGCGATTAAGGCCAGTGGGACCAATGCCGTCCGTATAGAACATGGAGTCGAAATAACAACTTCAGATGATGGGTTATCTCTACGGTTATCACGAAAAACTGAAACTGTGGGTTGGAAATATACGCTGTCGAAATAGGGATATTCAAAGAACACAGGTGCGGTTGGGCAATTTTGGTCCCAAACTTACCAAAGACAGCATGCACCACAGCGAAGGGCTGTACAAAAAGTCAACGTTGACCTGCCGATACCAAAGTGATGCCGCTCCTACCGTCATGAAGAGCACTATAAGAATGGTTGCCGTGTAACTTGGGGGACGCACGATGCGAATCTATGTTCACCACACTAGAAGTCATGAATTTGATCGTTACCTGAATGGAAGTTCGGCGGTTCGCCCACTTTGCAACAGCTTCGGCCAAGTAACCTAGCGTGGGGACATCCATAAAATCTTCAGGCCCTATTTCCTTGTTGGGTTGCACATGAAGAATAGACGGCGCTGTATTGACCTTCAGCTAACACAGTAAGCAATGAAGTGTCGACTAACCCGGACAAAAACATCAGGGGCTTCATCGTAGTCAACAATACCAAAATAAAGGTCGCCTTCGCGTCGCGAGTAGGCGTACGAATTGGCAACGATTCTGAATTCCTCGGCAGCCTCCCTTAAGGAAAAAATTGGTGAATCAAAATCCCTTACTTGCAAACATGGCACTCTCTTTGTGGTTTCTGTGCAGTTAACATCAATATCAACGAGTAGTTCCGCGCTTTCGATCTTGCAAACGACTCAAACATTTCCGTGTTAAGCCGAATAACCGGACTGCCACGGCTCAATTCACGCAGTCTAGTAATCCTCATCTCCAGTGACTACAAGCAACTGGTTCAAAACTAGACGGTTCCTTACTTCATCTTTCGATTCGAAGCAGGGTATTATGAGAAAAACCAGAAAAAAGCAAATACGCGAAGACCACATGGTGTTCAAATTTTCGCCTAGTGAATCATGTGCGTTAAAACTACAGGTCACGCCCACTTCAGTTCAAAGTACTCACAGACTGATACACTGGGTGTAGGAGCTGCCACAGTTTCACGGACCGGGTTTGTTTTTCTTGTACAGCCAAATAATTCATTATGTCTTTCACACGAGCAGAAGGTTGAAAGTTTGTGAACTCGGCACGGTAGATTGTCGATTCTGGTCAGAGATTCTGGATGCGTACATTGAATGGGGCTTAATCCGTTGTGTTCGTGGGCAAAAACGATTGGGTTTACCCGTTGACAATCAAGACAAGAGTGTAAAGCAGCCTCTGGATGAATTTTGGTGCGGAATTAATCAGGATAATTATAGCTAGTCGTTGGGGAGATCTCCGACTGTAAACGGAACACTCCGTATATGGAAGAAGCAGTGTAGGGCGTGGCGTTTGTACCTTTATTTTGCTTCCATTATAACACTACGTGTTTCGTCAATTGCATAATCGCCTTTTGTTTGATTACGAAAAGCTTCAAAAACGCGCACTTGTACAATTTCACAGAATACAAGCGTGGTCACGTGCTTCGACTCTTCTGATATCGTTCGCGCGTGCTGCGACAATTCACGGATTCACGGATTGATACACAAGATCGAGGATTTGCTCAAGTTTCCCCTGGTCGGTTTCGTTCTTCTCGGTCAGTGGCTGTCGTGCAACTGAAAGGCGCAAGTAAAAGAAGGGTGTAGCACTGCTCTTTATGTTCCGTGCAACTGAAAGTCACATGTAAAAGAATGGTGTGGCACTGCTCTTTATGTTCTCAGCTCGGGGCAGTATGCCTGCCAGCGCGAACGTCCAATAGTGCTTTAAACTGGATTCTAGAAGGAGCGTGGACAACAGACGGAGGGAGCTTATTTCACGCAACCAACAACCGAAATAAGAAAAAATTTTGTCTAATGAATGCGTGTGCTCTGAGCTTGAAAATTTTCTAACTACGTCGCCGCCGTGTATTTGCTGGGTCAACGGTGAAAAACCTGTTTGTCAAGCTTTGTTCAAACAAGGCGTAAGTAAGAAATAGGTCCTCTCGGAGGCGACGGTACTCCAGGGATAAGTGATCAAGCATCGCGAGCGCGATTTGAGGCCGGCAACCATTCTTGTAGCGGCTCGCCGGGCAAGCACAATGAGGGGGACGGCTTTCGTGCGTCCTGAGTGGACAACTTGGTTGGCGTATTCCAGGAACGGTCTGATGTAGGTCCCGGAGAGTATTTGGAAGTCCATGAGAGTAATACGGGAGAAGGTGCGT